ATCTACTCTGGAAGGTGGGGTAGGGCTGAGTCATTATCTTGTAGGAGTTCCCCAGGCTATGAACATGCTAATGGAGGAGCTTTCCTGAGGAGGTTCTTTTGTATATGGATTGTTTGCTGAGGAGGTTTCCTGTTTCCAGGAAACAATCCATATACAAAAGAACCTCCTCAGGAAAGCTCCTCCATTAGCATGTTCATAGCCTGGGGAACTCCCAACAAGATAATGACTCAGCCCTACCCACCTTCCAGAGTAGATATAAATTACCTGCCTACCATTTTTCTTCTCACCTTGACACAGAGAGTAGAAGAGAAGAAGAAGAGATTGGATTTATACCCCACCCTTTACTTGGAGTCTCAGAGGGGCTTACAAACTCCTTTCCCTTCCCCTCCCCACAACAGACACCCTGTGAGGTGGGTGGGGCTGAGAGAACTCTGACACAAACTGCTCTTTCAGGAACAGCTGTGCCAGAGCTTGTGACTGACCCGAGGTCACATCAGCAGGTGCAAGTGGAGGAGTGGGGAATCAAACCCAGTTCTCCCAGATTAGAGTCCGCGCTCTTAACCACTACACCAAACTGGCTCTCTCCATCTTTCTGTGTTATACCTCTGATGATGCCAGTCACAGTTACTGGCAAAACATCAGGTCCTACAATGCCAAGACCACAGCCACACAGCCTGGAAAATCTACAGCAACTAACTTCAGAGTTGTTGCCCAACCACTAAGAGTTACACAAGTGTGAAAAATCAACAAAATCATATTTTGCCAAATGTAACACAAGTTACAGACTCATCCACGTCTCGCTCTAGTTCTGCAAGACAATTTGGCACAAGTCTCTTTCCTTCAAAATGAACCCACTGCACCAGCAGTGGCTCACTTCGAATCAGAATCATCCCAATCTACTGCTGAAGTATTTATTTCCAGACCCCTGCCTACTCAGACATCAAGGGTCTTTACCCCTCAAGATACGCACACACCAATACGTCTAATTTTAAATTTCCACAGATAAATTACCATAAATCCGAGGAGCAGCAGCTTGTAAACTCTGCAGCATTTCTTTGTTTGCTCGAGATGCTGCGGAATAAATAGTTCCAATTAGCTGGTCTGAAAGCTCCGGGTTTCGCAAGCCAAGGAGAACAAGCTGTTGAGGGAGACCAGCCAGCCAACGTGTTAATACTTTACTCCTGCTTCTGGAGAACACAGAGAAGCATAAAAGCATCAACGTAAAACATCTGGAAGTTTAGACCGCTTTCTTAAACCATTAATATATTTCCATAATCACACACAATCCATTAGAACACGCAAACAGATGAATACAATTTTCAATAAAAGCAGAGAAATCATGAAGTTCTACAACGAAAGTACCATGGGATATGCTGTTCCTCAGAACAAAAAAGGAAACTTTTGGTTCTAAAAAGTATTTAATTTTCCTTCTGGATCAAGATCTCAGCTACACCTGCTTTTTTAAAATTTAAATGCTGGGCAATAACCTGCCCTCAGAAATGGAATACCCTCACCTGTTTCCCCTCCCTATGAATGATAGCATTTCTTCCTCTCATGTTTTGGCTCAATTCAAACCAAAATAACAATACATTCTTCAACAATATTACTCAGGCATCTCCTATTTCAGCAAACCTTACTTATATTTACAGAAAAAAGGCTATATATGCCAAGAGCCCACCTGTGAAATTCATGCCCTGCTGCCAGTATCCCTACCAGCTGCCCAGCTGTTAAGTGTCCTGGCTAGCATCTACCATGCCTGAGTGAGGCACCCTGGGATTTTCTCAGTAGAAATTTTATATCTTAGGGAATTTAACAGAAAATTAGAACAAATAAATATTTTACCTGTTTGTCTGAGTGTTCAATTCTTCTTTTTGATAAACTCTGCTGAAAAATTTCAGAAGCAAGGTACGCACAGAGAAAGGAAGGTTTCTTTGCTGGTAGAGTGTGTAAACAGCTTTCATTAGTGTTTCAGAAGTCACTGAGGGAAGAAATCAAAATTCTAAATTGTCTTTGATCTAGGGAACAGGTGCAGGGACATTTTTTGGCACCTCATCCTACCATGGGTTAGATCCAAAGACCTCCTTGTGGAATGAACATGTCACCTCACCTTTGTACCGCAGCCCTCTGTATCACCTGAAAAGCCGTGCCTGAGGATCTGGGAACACTCAGGAAGAATCCAAGAGGCAGTGCAGAAGGCTGAGTAGGAAGGGGGAGCAGCGGAAACTCTTCTCGCACAAGAGGAAGTGCCTTCCCACATGTGCAGTGCAGGAAAGACTCAAGTGGATTCCAGATTCCCACCCAGAGCACAAAGATAATGCATTCTGTGTGTGTTTCAGATTGAAATGTTCCATTAACTTCAACAAGGACAACCAATTTAAAACCACCTCTGAGAAACTCACATTCAGAAAAGCAAAAAGCAAACATGTTATCTCTTGAAGTGGTACAGAACTGCCCTGAACTGATGTGCGCATTATGATATTATAACTTCGCTCTGCCACGTCCTGGCACCACAACTCATGCCTATGTACAATGCTATAAGCGTCTGGGAGATATGAGCTTGGAACCTAGACCTTCTGTCCACTTGTGCTCCCCTTGTCCTTTGTGGAGGCAGCCCTGCAGTGAAGGCCACACCTCCTCTGATGTCACTGAAAAGTGCCCAGAGAGAGAGGAATGTGACAATGGTACTTACTACTACAATAGCTCGTAAGAGCCTAAGAGCTATAAAATGAATCTCCATTCTTTTCACCAAGAGAAAAGCTGGCTGAATCCAACCTACTTTCTTTCAGTAAAGTGGATGAGTTTATTACAGGAAAGGCCTCATCCTCTTATTTGTATCAAGAACAGCAAAACAATCTACTAGCCTTAAGCAGTTCAAGAAGACCTGTGTGATCAAAACGTGAATGGCAAACTGAAGTGTTATTTTTGAGGTAATGTTTTGTGAAACTCACCAGTTCTGTTACAAGCACACACAAGCACTATGCCACATGTCTCAGTTTACTTCTTCCCATGCTATATTATGATTGATTTAATAAATACATGGGTTTGTATTATAAAATTTCAGGCCTCTTATCCTGATTTTATACACATGTATTTGATTGATTGGAGACCCAGTGCAGTATAGTGAATAAAGCACTGAACAAGATCTGGGAGACCCAAGTGCAAACCCCCACGCTGCCATGGAAGCTTGCTGGATGACCTTGGGCCAATCACAGTCTTAACCTAACCAGACTGTTGTAAAATGCATAAGGGAAAAAACAACATAAGCTGTTTTGGGTCTCCACTGGGGAGAAAGGTTGGGTATAAATGAAATACAGTGGGACTGCTGGTTAGGAATAGCTTCCCCCTTTTGTCTATCTCCATTGTAAACATACTGATTAAATGCAGCCAAATTTTCTGCTGGTAAAAAAGAAGGGAAAGGTCCCTTTGACTACCAAAAAAGGCTGTACTGGGAATCATGAAATCTGCAAATCATGTGGGATGGTGGGAGGGAACCGTAGTAGGAAGAAGGAATGGGTGAGATTCAGTGGAACCCATCAGGTACCATATAGAGCAAAGGACTACTTCTCAGATCTGTCCCTACTCTAGTAATAAATCCAAGTGCAAAACTCTGTTTCACTATATCTGAAGAAGCTCATACCTTGAATAAAACTTCGTTGGTCTTAAAGGTGCCACTGGACTCAAACTTTGTTCCAAGGGCAAAAGTCATTACTTTAGCTACAGATTAATGCATGTACATCTGCTCAGCATTTTCTCTTCAAATACAATAAACAACAGCAAAGAGGAGACCAGGGTCCTGTGCACAAACATTTAACAAAGGAAAACAGAACCCATCCAGCATGCAGATCTGAGGCAACCACCATGTTGTGACAGAAACCCTAAAACCTGACTAGGGCAATAGTGCCACCAGCAGTGTCTAGGGTTTTGGACCCCTGAAGGTTCCATCAGAATGATCCATTCAATTCCATTCCACATTGACTATCCTAGTGGAGTTAATCCTTTATGAACAAAAGGCAACCCGGTTTGGACCAGACCACCTATTTGCCATGGAAGTTCAGAGCCATTACCCATTGCTTGATGGAGGTGGAACGTCCATGATTGATAATAGTAGCTTCTGACATCAGAGAGGGGGGCTTTGCATGGCATCTACTAAAGCAGCTCCTCAGAAAGGAGGCTGACTTCGGTCCAATTCCATTGACCAAAAACTACCCAGACCTTTGCGCATTCCCTTTGTTGTCAGTTTTCAGCAGAGACCAGGTTCACCAGAGGTTGGGTAAGGGTTTAGGATTGCAAGAAACTCTGCACATGCTCTGAGTAACCTGTAACAGCCTTGGTAACGTGTTTAACTAAGTTAGTTCAACTGTACCGCTATTTATTTAAACATCGGTGCTGCATACCTTTTCCCTGTACCTTGGTTTTGCCCTTTTCCCACCTTTTTTCTTACATCCAACCACCCTTTTCCTTTTTAAAAAAATCCCTTTTACAATAAAACTTTTTGGGGGGCTTGATTTAGTACAATTTACTTCTCTAGGACATTTCTCTGAATCTCTTCCCTTTGTACTAGACTGCATGGGCACTTACATAGGTGGTTAGAAGGTATTTTCTAGGTTTCTACCCTTTCACTTCGTTATTGCTCTAATACCACCCTGGAAGAGTAACTTCTCAGCGGGTCAGTCTAGATGTTCTCTGGAGATCCTGAGTGGTGGGAGCCAGTCACCAGAGTGGCTTCCAAGGAACCCTTGCTCAAAGGGACTTTTCCAGCAAAAACGAAGAGAAGAAAGAGATTGGAGTTATACCCTGCCCTTCACTACCTGAAGGAGTATACTACAAAAGTATCAGAAATGCCAAGCACTGCACATTAGCCAAGGTATTTTATTCATGTCATTTTTGTGAGATCCACAGCTGAAACTGGGAGTAATGTATTTATGCTAAAATCATATGTCACTTCCTACATATAGTAGTACGAGCCCAATCCCAAGTCCATAGCCTGTAGGCTCTGTGCACTGCAGGAGAGAGAAGAAAAAGAGACTGGATTTATACCCCACCCTTCACTACCCAAGGGTGTCTCAGAGCGGCTTACAAACTCCTTTTCCCTTCCCCTCCCCACAACAGACACCCTGTGAGGTAGGTGGGGCTGAGAGCTCTTTCGAGAACTGCTCCTGAGAGAACAGCTCTGAGAGAACTTGTGACTGACCCAAGGTCACACTAGAAGCTGCATGTGGAGCAGTGGGGAATCAAACCTAGTTCTCCCAGATTAGAGTCCACACTCCTAATCACTACCCCAAAACACTGTCCCCGCTTCCTACTGTGACACACGTTTTGCACCGAAAAGTGCAACAGTACAAAGAAGAAGAGGAGATTGGATTTATACCCCGCCCTTCACTACCCAAAGGTGTCTCAGAGCGGCTTACAAACTCCTTTTCCCTTCCCCTCCCCACAACAGACACCCTGTGAGGTAGGCGGGGCTGAGAGCTCTTTCGAGAACTGCTCCTGAGAGAACAGCTCTGAGAGAACTTGTGACTGACCCAAGGTCACACTAGAAGCTGCATGTGGAGTAGTGGGGAATCAAACCTAGTTCTCCCAGATTAGAGTCCCCTCACTTAACCACTACACCAAACTGGCAAGAGAAGCAGGAGAAACAGCCCCAAGAAGAGGCAGTAGCAACAACACACTGTTTTAATCACTGCATCACTGTTCACTCCAACAGGGGGAAATTTATTTGAAGATCTCACTTCTATGCATCCCCAAGTGGGGAGGTGACCACTACGAAAACTAACCCACCTGTACACACAGGAAGCTGGAGCAGGTTAATGCTGAGGGACCTCCAAACTACAAAAGATCAGAATCATCTGCAGGATCATAGGCCTCTCCCATGCTTCTGAAGTCAACAACGATTAGCTTTTTGCATGGGTTAAGTTAGCCCAAACCAGTGTAAGATCTGCTTCTAGTAATGTTCGCAGAACCCAGTTTGACAACAGTTGTGGTTTTATCAAAAGCACTGGTGGAGCACACTAGCCACAGTCAGCCCCCAAAAGGGAAGTGGAGAGGGGAAATTGCTTGTGCAGCATTTCCTATGGTTAAGAGACCAGGCAGCATTTCATCTGTTCCAAACTTGGGTCAATGCAGCAAGCGGCTCTAGACTCAACCTGGGATTGCTCTACACGGAAGACTAATGCAAGCAGCCTAAAAACTACAAAACACAACACACTAAAAAAAGAATGCAGCAGACTGAGTGACCCTTACCTTTGCTTATCTGTATCTGCCAAAGCCTCCATGTCACTCTCAGCAACCTGTTCAACTGCTTAGAGTTCAACTTGTAACCATCTTCAAGCGTCTCTATCACAAACTTTCTAATCATATCTAGCCAATGAGAATCCATATGTAGCGTTGCAGAACTTGCCAATGAGACCATAATATCACATAGGGTCAAATTTAACAAGAGATGATCAACATTATTTGAAGGTGTTGTGCAGTACTTGTTGCTAGATGGAAGACAGAGAGAAGAGTTTTATGAACATTGACAAAGCCTTAACACTTCAGCATTACTTAAGAGGGGAAACTGCTTTAACAGAACCTCTCATGAGATGCATAAAGCTATATTTAGATATCACAAGAGACATCTAATCCAAAGTACTGAAGACTCATCGAGACCCAATGCAATCACCCATACATCCCCAGTAACAGGGGGAAAGAGATCTATGAAGAACAAGAAGCAGCTGACAGTTTCAGGACTCTGTGTGGTCCACAGTTAGCACGTGTGTACACACACACACACACACACACACACACACACACAGTTAATGGTGCTAGGGCACAGAGTAGAACAGTGTCAGAATATCAGGTTTATATAATTATTTTTAAAAGGCTTCTAGTGCCTAAAAGTGTTACAAGCAACATATGGAATCCCACCCACCAGAGAGAAGGGCCAGGGGATACTCTAATGCAGGATCATGGGCTGGATCAGGCCTGCCCAGGGCTCTTATCTGGCCCACAAGCAACCTCCTTCCACAACCACTGAGCTCCCAGCTCTTTTTCTCCCCGACATCAGCTCCTCTGTTTCCTTTTATTCTTCCCAGTCTGTTCACACCCCTTTCCCCTCTTTCCTGTTGCTGGCTGCCTTCCCAGCTCCGCTTCGAACCCGACCCAAGGCACAGGCATGCTCTGGCTCATGGGGACTGGCCGGGCTGTCCCCTGCGTCCCCACCCTTGGTCCCCTCCCCCCCATCCAGGTCTTTGGTCCTCTTCGCCCTGCTTCTCTCAGGGAAGTTTCTTCAGACACTGGGAGCCGCCAATTTGAAGGTGCACCTGCTGCAGTAATGCCCGTCAGCCTCCACTTGGGGAGCCAACACATCTCCCAAGTGGCTGCCAGCACAGGGCTGCCACTGTGCGCTCACTTGCTCCCACCCCCTTCGGAGCTTTCCACTCCAGCCCATTTGGGCACGCTTTCTCACTTTGCTCTCTCCTCAACTGGCTTCAGGCTGAGGGGGGATTGAAGTAGCCAGCGAGTGAGAGACACAGGGCTGCTGTGCTGCCATGGCTGACGGCTGGGGGGGGAGGACCCCGCGCTTTGTCTCATCCCCGGTCCTTGGCTGTTGCAGCCACTTGGTCCGCACTGAGAGAGAAGGGGGAGCTCGTGTCATGCCAGGGGGGCCAAGGGAAAGGGCTGTCCAACTGCAAGACCAGTAAAAGGAAGTGCCGGTCGCTCTCCTCCCCCACCACTACTCTGGACAATGACATCCACGAAGGAGCAGGTGCAGCTGAACCAGGTGGCAGGGGAAGCCAAGCCCGACAGCAAGACCAGGCGGGAGTTGGCGGCAAGTACACCAGCCGCTTCGGGGGCTCTCTTTCTGGGCTTTGCCTCTTTGCTCATCCCTCTTCCCCACCAATTCCAACCCAGTTCGGACCAGTGGGAAGCGGTCTCCCGTCCAGCATCCCAAGTTGGACCAAATCTCTGGGGGGGAGAAGAGAAGGGAAAGTATCATCTTCCTGAGCAGCCTGAAGGATGCTGCCAAGTGCCCAGTCAGGAGTAGTGTGCAGAGGTGGTGCTGCCTCCTTCCCAAGAGGGGACCTCAAGGCTTGGCAGAGGCTTTTTGCTTGGAGCGGTCTGCCTTGCACTGGGAAGGGATAGCTCTGGGGGTGGGGGGGAAGACTCCAAGAGGGAGAGCTAGAAAGTGTGTGTATGTTTTGAACATTCCTTCGGAGAGAGGAATCCCATAATGATCGTTCCTCCCCACCCACCACCCACCCCTGTGGCCCATTTCCTCCTCCTCCTCCTCCTCATTTCCAAGCCCAGTCAGGCACACAGGTTTGAGGGGAGGGAGTCTAACAGAAGGGAGTCCACTCTCCAAAGTAGCCAGCTCCTCCAGGGTGATGCTCTGTATTCTTGGGGCTTGGAGGGCAACAGGGGAAGGGCTTCTGGAGTTCTGGCTCCACCAGTGGACCTCCTGAGGGCACCTAGGCTTTGGCCACTGTGTGACACAGAGTGTTGGACTGGATGGACCATAGGCCTGACCCAACATGGTTTCTCTTATGTTCTAACCCAGGGTGTTGCAGCAGTGAAAAAAGGCAGACTCTTAAGTGAGGGATGACCAGGAAAGGGACTGAGAATGATAAAGCTGATATTGTAATGCCCCTGTATAGATCTATGTGGCAGCCTCATTTGGAATATTCTGCAGACTCAGAGGAACTGATTGACCACTGTGTGAGACAGGATGCTGGACTAGATGAACCACTGGTCTGATCCAGCACGGCTCTGCTTATGCTCTTATGTTTAAAGCATGTTTATATTTTGAGTAAAAATTAATATCATTAATTGGGTTTGCCTGTGTCCACACCAACAAAGTGACATTTATGTCAGATATAGCCCTTGTAACAAAAGAGTTTGGCACCTCCGTTCCAATTACTTGCCGGAGGACTCAGTGTGTGGACAGAGAACTCCTTATTTGTTTGGAAAATCCCCAAGTCCTATCACCGGGGAATCCACCAGGGAACTCTATAACTCCCTCTTGTGCTGCTAACCATCACTGATAGGATATTGTTTCCTTGCATACCTTTTTAAGGAATCTTTCTTTCTGTGCTTGATCATTTCTTGGAATGAATAAGGAAAATGACACATGAAATGGTGCTTGAAATCAACCAGGTAGTTTGCTCGAAGCCATGCTTCCTGTTGTAAAAACACCACACATCAAAGAGACCATGGTAATCATTTTCTCCATACAATAATTGCCAGTTGCTTTAAAACAGGCAGAGCTTTACCGATTTGTAAACAGAAAGTTATTTAAAAGGCTTTCACATGCATAATGCAAGTCACATAAATGACCACCCATTAGCCATAAGACAAAAGCTTTTAGCATTGACTAATAGCTAGCAGAAGAGGGGCAATTGTAAAAAAATAAACCTTTCATTACTTGACTGTAAGATATAACTGTGTTCATTCTTTCACACAAGTGATCATACCAGGCCATGGGGAACAGTACCCAAACCTTTGCAGTCTTAGTTGGGATTAAGCCTAAACTGCAGAAGGCAGAAGGCTCTGCTCCACTGATCAGACAAAAGCAGGTTATATTTCATATTACTGGAATTTGTAACAGACCCCGTTAATCCATGGGCTTTATGCCACGTCAATCACACAAGTAAAGACAGCAGAGTGCTATTTCCTTATGTTTTGAGCTCTCAGCACCCATAGTTCTAGGTACCTCACTAGGCTAAGTCCCAGCCCCATTCCAGGAGCTTTTGAGCTCAGTTCCTGGCATCGCCACTCTCCCCAACATATCATCACTTTGGGGAATAAACCCCAAACCCACCAGCATTTCCAAACACCTAGTGGGAAGCCAGTTGTGAAAGTTGTTCTTAGGATCCCATTCTGTGCAAATATCCTAACCATATTTTACTATTCCAGCAAAATAACTGGGAAGCTATTTGAAAAATCATGTTAACTGAGAGAAAGGGACAAGAACCATCTCTATAAATGAAATACTTAAGAGATTACATTCTGATCTACAAGTGAAACTACCAATTAATATACTTTTTCAGCTTCTGAAGGGTGAAAAATTTGACCATCTAACAGCACAGTATCTGCCCACTTCTTCATTCTGTAGTTTCATATATAAAAGAAGGATGAAGGTATACACCTTTCCAATACATTATCTTCTGACTACTTGAAGCTCACCTTTTCTACAAATTACATTTGTAAGTCTACTAAAGCAGACAGAATGCACTGACCACCCATTCACGTTCTCTTATCTCCCCAGCCCCAGTAATTTTAATTTCTTACCATTTGCTGTGGCTCTTCGTTTTGCTTTGCTAGCTTCCACAATAAGTGTATAATGCTAAGTACTTGCTCCATAAGCTGCAGAGATCCAGGTTCCAGAAGATTTCCAAGGACGGGAGCTGCAACTTGTGTGGGAGATGCTTCAATCCAACAATCAAGCAGCAATGGAATTATTATTTCAATGAACCTTTTCAAATTTTCAGGGGATGACAGGCCTTTTTCAGTGCTACTTGTTACACTCACCAGAGACCTAAAACAGATGCCAAAATTTCCTTACAAAATTAATGCACAAAGTACAATATCAGGTTATTGTAGTTGAGCTACAATCTCTGTCATATATATACACACACAGAGACATGTGTGTGTGTGTATTTCCCCAATGTCCCAGACTCTCTCTCTAGATATAAAGAGAGCGTCTGGGACACAACACAAGATCAGGAAAACATACACAGAACCAGACTGCATGTTAGATGTTTCTGAGCTCTGGAATACTATTAAGTTGGAACAGTCAGTTTGAAGTATGTACAAATGCTATCTATGTCCCTAACGCTACTGTCTCATGCCCTGCTCTCTGGCAAAACAGAGTGAAAAACATACAGGCAGTAGCTAACAAGAGCCCAGCTTCCTCAGTAACACCACGGGCCCAAGACTCTTGGTTGGGCCAGAAGACAGAAGTTCAGCTCCTATTGTGCTATGCTTGCTCTTCAGCACGTACTAAGAGCCAGTCAGGCAGCTTTACACTGTTGAAATGTGACCTCTCTGCAGAAAATGCATGTTTGTATCCTGATTCTCTTCCTAAGAATCATGAGCTCCTCTCTGAGATATCCTTTTGCTTGACCTTGAGGTGCTTGATATGGAATAGATTATTTAATCTTGTGGCATACAGGAATACAACTCAAAATGGACTACTAACGCAACTTATTTGTCAGCCCCAGACTGCAACTTAGACACGTTATGATTTCTTTTTTTGTAAATTATTTTTTATTAAATTTTTCAATAACATCATAGAACAACATTTTTACTCAATACAAACAAATAAACATATAATTGGCTCATAACACGTTATGATTTCTATCTGGCTTATACTTCTAATAAGGCAGAGCAAGCCCCACTTCACCCCCTCCCCACTATTCCCCTTGCTACTGCTGGGGCTGTGGAGCAAACAAGTTGTCTCCCCAATGAACAGAACCAAGATCACAACATAGTCTGACAAGGAATCAAGGCTGATGCCTCCAGGGATCACCTATTACACAGATGCAAAAGGAAGGCAACAAACCAGGATTATGTATGAATTAGTTTCCAGCAGCTCCATCTATGCCTCTCTGCAGAAGCATGTAGTTCCAAATGCTCTGAAAAAGTAGTCATGAGACTCCTCCTGAATAAGGCATCCCTGGAACCTACTGACCCGAACAACTATAGCCCAGTAACCAACATTTCATTTTGGAGCAACGTGTCTGAGTAGGTGGTGGCTACACAGCTTCAAGCTGTCTTGAAGGTGGATTATCCAGACGCATTTCAATCTGGATTCAGGCCTGGTTTAGAGATGGAAACAGCCTTAGTTGCCCCGATGGATGATCTCTGCCTTGAGAATGACACAAGGGGGCATCCCTATTGATTCTCCTGTACCCCTCTGTGCCATTTGATATCACAGACCATGGTAAACTTCCAGAGAGCCTGGTTGAGCTGGGATTGAGCGGTATCATGCTTCAGCGATTCCACTGTTACTCGACTGGCTGATTCCAGAGGGTGATGCTGCTAAATGACATGGGATCCCCCCCCCTTTCACAGCAACATGAAATCACTTAAAAATATCATCAGAAGATACAGAGCAAAGTGCCACCAATATGTGGGTGACACTCAGCTCTACTTGTAGAAGTCCTGAACTGAAGACTGTATCTTCACCAGCTGGAGATGGTAATGGGATGAATCAGGGCTAATTAACTGAAGCTTAATCCAGTCAGGACTGAGGCACTGCTGGTCAATGACACAGCTGCTTGAGGACTGAGGAGTCAGCCTTTCCTGGAGGGGGCTGCACCCCCTTGAAGAAGCAGGTTAATAGTTTGGAAATGTTGCTGGATCCCAATCTATGGTGTAGTGGTTAAGTAGCCAGTTTGGTGTAGTGGTTGAGAGCACTAATCTGAGGAACTGGGTTTGATTGCCCACTCCATATGCAGCCAGCTGGGTGACCTTGGGTCAGTCACGTTTCCCTCAGAGCTGTTCTCTCAAAAGCAGTTCTGTTAGAGCTCTCTCGGCCCCACCTCACAGGGTGTCTGTTGTGGGGAGAGGAAGGGAAGGAGATTGTAAACCACTCTGAGACTCCGAGTGAAGGGTGGGGTATAAATCCAAGTCTTCTTCTATGGTTGGAGGCCTTGTATCAACTTCAGCTGGTACGTCGGCTACAGCTGTTCCTCAAAAAGTATGATCTGGCCATGGCGATCCATGCTTTACTTACAGCCAAGTTAGATTACTTACTGTAATAAATTTTACAAGCGGCTGCCTTTAGAAATGGTCCAGAAAATTCAGCTGGTCCAAAATGCAGCAGCCAGCCTATTGTCAGGGGCAGGATACAGGGCTTGTATCACTCCAGTGCTGAAAGATCTACACTGCCTGCCCATGTGCTTCCAAGCACAATTCAAAGTGCTCGTTCTAATCTTTAAAGCCGTAAATGTTTTAGGACAAGGATATTTGAAGGGTCCCTTCTGCCCATATTGTCCAGCATGCCAATTAAGTTGCGCTTCAAAAGTCCTGTTCTCTGTTCCTCTGCCTTCAGAAGTACACTGGGTAGCCACCAGAGATAGGGCTTTCTCAGCATTGGCACCTCGCCACTAACAACCAGTGTTCAGGTTGCAGAAACTTCCTGGATCCTTAATCAACTTTTCAACGAGGCCTATACTGCCTCTATAAAAGGTTGCTGACTGCTGCCCAACATTGTGTTCAGGGATGGATGGGTGGGTGTGCGCACATACACGCATCATGCTTTCCAGAATACTATAAATCATTAGGGGCTTGAGAAAGCTACTTCCTCCCCCCCCCCACTGCCCCCACCATTTTTTGTTTCTGCTTAACAGACACTCAACTGACCTCAATATTCAGAGCATCCTCGAATGCAATCAGTATGGTCAGTCTTAATCAGGTGGCCGGGGAGGGGGGAGTCTGTGCATTTTTTAACTTGCAGAAGTAACACTTTTCTGCATCCCGGGAGAGTTTCCTAAGCAGGCATGAACTCCTGCTTTGCCTGTTGCTAGCCCTGGTTTGCTGTCCTATTGAGAAACACCTATGCATCAAGTTTGCCATCAAGAGTAATTTGTACCTTCTTAGCTCTTTAATATCTGGTACTATATTCAGTCCCAAACTAGATTACCTAAATCAACAAAAAGAACACTGAATGATACTGAGACACAGAACACTATTAGGCAAGGGTTGAACACATCTGGCTTCCACAGGACGTCCCAATATCAGCAGCAGAGGAGGAATGAAAATTAAACCTTTATTGCAGGCACACAAGCAATGCAGTTGGTCAAGAACCACTTTGAATTAGTCATAACAGACTATACTACATGACATGATTGAGGTTTATAAGATTATGCATGGGAAAGAGCAGGTAGAGAAAGAGGTACTTTTCTCCCTTTCTCACAATACAAGAACTCGTGGGCACTCCATGAAATTGCTGAGCAGTCAGGTTAGAACGGATAAAAGGAAGCACTTCTTCACCCGAAGAGTGATTAACACTTAGAATTCACTGCCACAGGAAGTGGTGGCGGCTACAAGCATGGACGGCTTCAAAAGGGAATTAGATAAGCATATGGAGCAGAGGTCCATCAGTGGCTATTAACCACAAGGTATAGATAGGGACTCTGGGGCAAGTGATGCTCTGTCATCTTGGTGCTTGGGGGGGTCAACAGTGGGAGGGCTTCTAATGTCCTGGCCCCACTGGTGGACCTCCTGATGGCACTGGTATTTCTGGCCACTGTGTGACAGAGTGTTGGACTGGATGGGCCTTTGGCCTGATCCAACACTGGCATCTCTTATGTTCTTATATGTATCAGAAATGCCAAGCATTGCACATTAGCCAAGGTATTTTATTCATGTCATTTTTGTGAGATCCACAGCTGAAACTGGGAGTAATGTATTTATGCTAAAATCATATGTCACTTCCTACATATAGTAGTACGAGCCCAATCCCGAGTCCATAGCCTGTAGGCTCTGTGCACTGCAGGAGAAGAAGAGGAGATTGGATTTATACCCCGCCCTTCACTACCCAACGGTGTCTCAGAGCGGCTTACAAACTCCTTTTCCCTTCCCCTCCCCACAAAAGACACCCTGTGAGGGAGGTCGGGCTGAGAGAGCTCTTGACAGAAACTGCTCTTTTTCAAGAACAGCTCTTATCAGAACTACGGCTTGCCCAAGGTCATCCAACCAGGTGCAAGTAGAGGAGTGGGGAATCAAACCCGGTTCTCCCAGATTAGAGTCCACGCACTTAACCACTACACCAAACTCAGAGGGTCAATATCTAAACTGGCACATTGCAAGAGCATTGTTTCCTGGAACATTAGGTATTAGAATATGCTGATAAATGGACTGGAACCAGCAACTTCAAACAAGTAGTCCAACGTCAGCAACAAAAGACAGACCTTCAAACAGGTTGCTAGTTTCTTACCTCAGCCGAAATGATGAGTTGGTTCTGGGTTGCAAGCCCCCACTTTCATACAACTGGATGTGCTCCTGGCCCTTGGCAAGGTTTTGCCAACTAACAATTAAGGCGTTTTTTGGCACTTGGGGGCTGCTATTTTCTCCTTGTAGCCCATCATCGTCCAATTCACTGGATCCTCCTACCAACACATGGAGGAACTTTCGAAGTCTGAGCAGTACATTCAGTCTCCACTGTTGGGAAGTTATCCTACGATTAGGACTCACAGACAGCATCCATGATACATTATCTCTGTTTTTCAGCCGCTTTGACAGTTGCTGATGAGATATAAGCTCTACAAAGTTATTCAGCAGCACACTACTGCGATCCATCAAAAGAGTAGGGTATTCCTCCAACAGAACGTCCAACACTTTCAAAGAATCCTCCTGAATTCCTTCGCTGATGTGAGTCATAGCACTGGAGAGGTGGGCACTCACCAAAGGGAAAAATGGAGAGATATGCTCAGCTCGTATTTTTGGAGCCAGAAACTGAAGAAGGCGGATTGCTGCTGCTCTTACAGTAGAGTCCCTATCTGTAAACACAGCTGCCAGCTCACTCAGTATATTTGAAAGGTGGGCATCGATAATATATGGATACTGGGACAGCAGATCTTTGAGCCCCAAAAGCGCACTTTGTTTAACTCCAGCACTATAGTGGTTCATTTGTGAGAGGAGATCCTAGAAGAAACAGGCTGCATGTGTTAGTAACAGCTTCAAAAGTAACTCGCATCACAAATTTTCTAAAACCAAACTTTTCATAAATAAATCATTCAAATGGTTTACTCTCATTCACAACAGTAACTAGTAATTTGTGAACAATGAATATCTTCCCTTTGAACTACTGGTTACAGACATGTTTATGATTAACAGAAGAGTACTAGGACAGCAAAAATCTAAGCCTCACAATGTTGCTGAACTGTAATCAGATGCAGATTTAGAAAAGTCTGACACTGATTTCAAGAAGAAGAGGAGGAGTTTGGATTTATACCCCGCCCTTCACTACCCAAAGGTGTCTCAGAGCGGCTTACAAACTCCTTTCCCTTCCCCTCCCCACAACAGACACCCCGTGAGGTAGATTTCAAAGAGCTTAGGTAAAAAGTTTTCTTTGACTTGTTTTTGCAAGGTAGTGTAAATGATGTATTGCCTCTTGCCTGGAGTAACTTGAAACCAGCTCCAATGGAAGCTGCTCTGCATCTAACATACAATGGACCTCATGTCCTGAAGCATTCTCCCATCCTCAAACACTTTCTAAAACTTTTTTGTAACATCCAACCTGTAGAAGAATTCTGTTGAACTTAAAGCCATTAATGAATACAACTTAATATGCCTGCAGGAGATGGCATGCGTGTAAGAACTAGTGTAGTGGTCAGAGTGCTAGACTAGGATCTGGGATATACAGGCTTGAACCCCCACTCTGCCATAGAAGCCAGCTGGGACTTTGGCCCAGTTACACTCTCAGCCTAACCAACCTCACAGAGTTTTCAGGAACAGAAAGAGAGGTGAACAACGTAAGTCGCTTTACATCCCAAGTGGGAAAGGAAGGCACAGTATAAATGAAGCAATATAAATAAGTAAATGATAGCCAGATGAAAACGATAACCAAGTATAAGAAACCCAACAGATCCCACTATTGAACACAACAAAACTATAAGTTGGCCTACATCACAATGATCAGCAGTCCATTGTGAACGTCCCACCCCTGAGAGTACTGTCTATCCAGTAAGTGAGGGCTCTTATGTAGTATATTTCAGCAAACAACCTTTATCAAGACCAGAGAAACTCACTACACAACTGCCACAAAACACAGCAAGGTCTAATAGATGACATAAGGGTGGAGGTGTGAAATATGTGAGACGCTGATTATCATAACAGACTTTGAAAAACAGTAATACCAGGGGAGGACAGCATCTAGTTATTTCATGAAATAACGGAAGAACCTGAGCAAGTAGTCACTATATGGTTTTGCTGCCATAAAAGTATATCTTCATGGAAGCTTCTGTTCTGTTCAATGGGATTCAAAAGATGCTACTGAACTCTAACTCAGGAAACATTATGGCTGGTATTGATGTTTGTGTTCAACTATACCTTTATGTTAAGCTTTCTGTTGTTCGTTGGAAGTACTGGGTCCTCTCTTAGCTGTTCAGGAATATGTACAGACGTTGTTTTGAAGTTTGTGTCAGTGGCATTTTCCAATCTAGGCTTCTTTTTCCCCACTTTCAGCTTCACTTTGTGAAAATCCTCCTGATGTTTCCTTTTCTTCGTCATTTTGAAACTAATTCTGCAAAGAAAAGATGAGACACTTTAAAGATGCTTAAACAAAAAAGTGAACTACATCCAACTAGACTCAGCAAGCAAAATAGTCACTTAATTATTCATTTTTAAACCCCAGAACAAAATATTAAATACACTGTTATCAAAAAGAGGTATAATAAGCATTTATGTTACAGTTGAGAGCATCCAAAGAACTTTACATGCATCAGTTATCCTTCCCACAGTAGTGGTAAACCTGTGCCTGGAGTGTACTGCTGCAGGTGAGATGTTCACCTGACTGGGACAGGATATCTCTCTCTCTCTCTCTCTCTATATATATATGTATGTATGTATGTATGTGTCATTTCCTGCGGACACACACACACGCACACAAAGGCGTTTATGGTATCCTGCACACACGCGCACACAAAGGAATTTTCATTTATCTTATTTTTACTTACATTACTTATAGTCCACCTTTCTCACTGACTCAAGGTAGATCACACGATGCAAGCCAATGCAATCAGTATTATCAGACACATAATAGACACAATGCAACAAGACTAGCAGAAATCTGAAATGAAGCATAGGGATTAAATATGAGGTGAAAAATTAAGAAAATAATATTACATAAGTAGAAATCTAATGCAATGAGAAAGAAAACTGATAGAGCTACAGAAAATATACACTATATGTGATAGCACAGTTCACAATCCCATTCCCTCTATTAAAGCACCTTCCTGAACCTTTTTTTTGCCATCTTTGAGCTGACTTAAAAACCATAGGGTTTTTAAGGCAAGTGATGCTCAGATATGGCTTGCTGTTGCCTTCCTCTTCATAACAACCCTGACAATCCTTGGTGGTCTCCCACCTAAATGCTAGCCAGCGCCAACCCCATTTAGCTTCCAAGATCTGATGAGACTGGGCTAGCCTGGGCCATTCTGGTCAGGGTAATGCAACCCTACTATTTCTATAAAAATGTTATCCCGAATAATCCTATTTTACACAGTTTGCAGAATACTAGAAGTGTGGGTGGCTTCCTGGCTGACTTCCTCAGGCAGGCCATTCCACAAGGTCAGGGCTGCTACAAAGAATTCATGTGTACAGCAGTTGCTGATCTGCAAGATGGTGTCAGCTAATGCCGCCATGGCTTGGAATGTGTGGGTTGCTGTCCATGTCTCTCACTCCCCCTCCCTTCCTCCCTTAGTCTTAGGCAGTTATCTTTCTAGTGTCCTTGAAGCTGTGAGCTGCTTGCTCTTAGTTTCCCGCTGGGAATGTAACCATTGCTTTTTGCCCCCGCTCCTAGGTGCTTGCTTATTGGCCTCTGCATATCTGGGGGTCTTGTATGAAAGGGGTATATCTGGGGTTCCTTTGACTATCCCTCCATTCCTGACACAGGTGTTTATGGTGTCCTAAGTACTTACTCTCAATAAACGGAAACTTCGAAGGAACGTTGTTGAGTCTTTTGACTGGGAACCCTGACAGATGGCACCGGTAAAGAGGCCCTGATCAAAAGAGCAAAGTTGTTGTGTCAAGGCATAGGAGGAGATGAGGTCCTGCAAATATGAAGGGTTCAAGGCCATGAAGAACTCCGAATGTGATAGCCAGTATCTTGGATTGAACCTGGTAACTGATGATCAGACCGTGGAGTGACTCATAATGGGAGCAATCTGCATGCTCCATCTAGTTCCTGATAATAACCAAGCTGTGGAATTCTGCACCAAATACAGACTCCAAGAGACCTCTACAGACTGCATTACAGCAGTCTAGTCTCAATGTTACCATGGCATGGCCAAATCAAATAATGCTCGATCTAGTACAACCCCCAGGCTCGTAACCAAGTCAACAATAGTCAGCTGAATCCCTCAAAAGTGAGAAGCACAATGTCCTTCAAGACCTCAGGTTTCCCAACCAGTGTTACCTCTGTTGAGTCACTGTTCAGTTTCAATTTGTTCACGCTCAGCCAAGAAGCCATAGAAGTCAGGCAATGGCCCAAGGCTTGTAACTGCATCACCAAGAGATTTGGAGACACAGAATACACCTAATAGTTTGGTCAGTAACTGATACTATAATCTAAACACACTGCTGTTTTAACATATTGGGCAGATGGAAGTAGTAACTCCTGTGCTTTTCCCCCTCTCACATGACCCAATGATACTCTCGTCCCAGTAGCCTGAACTACTGCCAAATGTTATACTTCTGAATCAGCTATGCTGGTTCCCTGGTAAGAGGGAACTCTAAATCAGGGTTAACCATAGTGACAGTCAATGTAGATTTAACCCATAAACCTAGTTAAAGAGGTCTCTTTTTCTCCAAGTGTGTGCTTGGTTTCTGATCCACGAGTGTTATGTTAGCGCGAAAGAAACTGTTCTTACAGAAACACATTTGTGTCTCATTTCAGAAGGTAGCCATACTGGTCTGCAGTAGAACAGTCAGATATGAGTCCAGTAGCACCTTGGAGGCCAGCAAGTCAAATCTCCCTTCGGTCAGACAGGAGATGCAATGGAGATCCAAGTCATTATACTCCAGTCAGGAGGTGGGGGAGGGTGTTGTAAAGAATGCTTGTGAAGAATGCAAAGACAAACGTGCACACGGTAGGGTTACCAGATGCCCTCTTTTTAGAGGTCAGGTTCTGTTTTTTTGGTGTCGTGTCCTCTTTGGGGCTCTTTTTTAAAAAAACCTGATGAATATGTCCCCTTTTGGGGTTGGGAGAATAAGAATACTCCTAGTTAGTAGCAATGATTACAGCTAAAATAGCAGAGAGTATTTATGAGATTTGTTATAGTGGCCACCAATGTTCCCTCTAAGCTACGGAGTCCTGGGAGCAAAAATCCTACTTTGTGAGCTACTGGCATTAAAGTTGTGAGCGAGCAATTTGGCTCCTGCATAAATTAGTTGCTCTGGAGCCCTCCTTGCTGAGCTAAGACAAAGATATGTGAGCTGGAGGCTAAAAGACTGTGAGCTAGCTCACACTAACTCAGCTTAGAGGAAACACTGGTGGCCACTTGTTCATAGTAGTCAGTCAGGAAACAGGTCTCTTTTTTTCTTTGCTTTTCAAAATATGGTAGCCCTGAGGAGCAGAAAGTTAGTACCTAGTGAGATGAGACGCCTCTAATCTCTGCACCTTTTTATGTCTATTTCCACTGATGCCCAAATATCTACATGAAAGCTTAATTAAAAAAACACAGCAAAATGTCCAGTCAGGCAGGCTGCCGGGAAATGGGGGGGGGGGACCCAAAAGCCTGAAAAGTTGTGAGCGAGCGATTTGGCTGCTGCATCGATTAGTTTGTTCTGGAGCCCCATCCTTCCTGAGCCGAGACAAAAACGTGCGAGCCGGAGGCTAAAAAACTGTGAGCTAGCTCACACTGACTCAGCTTAGAGGGAACACTGGTCCCCAGGTGGACTGATGATACTTGTCGCCAGGTGCGAGAGCGGGAGACGGCGCTCCAGCCATTACCTGGGGGCGGGCAAGGCCACCCTACCACAGGCTCCTGCATCCCCGAGTGACGCAGCGCGCACCAGAGGGGGGTTGTGCGGAGGGTCAAGCCGGGCTCTCGAAGCCGCCTGGGCAGGCTGGTCGTGGGGACGAAGCCGCCCCCGAACTCGCCGTGACGCCTCCGATTAGAACCCGGGCGGTGGGGG